TATCGTGCACAAGTGATGCGTTACGTGATACCAAACTATACTGCATACTGTAGTGCTAGCAGACAAGAAGGTACAGTACAAGGAATTCAGTAGGCGTGTTTGGTTTGTCGCAAATACCGCTTGGGTGTCGGTCCAAATCGAGATGATGGATACGTTCCTCCTGCACGCGATCGCGATCCGTCACGGCGAGAGAGAAGGGCCACGAACAGGTCCCAGGTGAAACATATGCAGCAGGCACCAGGCAGGCACAGCTAGCGGTGGAGTGCCGTAGCCTTTTACGGCCACTTTCCGCTCCTGCTTTTACTGTAGTATCTGTCAACCGCTTTTATCTTCCGTACCGTGCGAGTTGTTGGTTGCTTGCCTCACTCAGCGTCATACGGATGCACTACTGCACTGCAGCTGTTGGAAAAGGAGGAGGAGGGAGGGAGAAAGGGCCGACAAGTCGACGTCGACGTCGACGCGATCCAAAACGTGATGCTATACAATACTCTAGCACTGTCATCTTCTCGTGTTTGGTTTTATTATATGTATAAAAAAAACACAGAGGTGAGAGATCCAACGGTTGACACCTCCCATGAAATGGCTGTTTTGTTTATGCAACCACGTTGAGGCCCAGCTCGCAGTTTTCCAACGGTTGCTGCATCCGCGCTTTGCCGTGAGCTACAGAGTGCCACGGACCGTGCACCCATCCCATCCCGTCTCATCACTTGGCAGGCAGATTTGGCCACCGGAAGTCCGGACACACCTCTACGAAGTACGTATCTGGCAACCACCCCGTCCTGTCACGCTCATTTAGCGGAAGCCACGCACGCGGGCTATACGGTATGGCCTTCGCATTAAACGTTCAGCAGCGAGCCTGAGTGAGCAAACCGGTGCGAAAAGGCGTTAACGGCTTACGGGATACGGGAGAGATCTCTGCTACAGTGCTAGTGCTACTAGATCGAGTTCGACTAGCAAGCAGGGGACAGGGTACCTGTGGACCAGCGCCCGTCCTGACAAGAAAATGAGCGCCTCAGCACGCTGGTCTCACTTTCACCCGGCCTTCGCTTGGAGTTGTAACCGTGATAGGCAGCATTGTTTGAGGCTTTTGGCAGACAATACATGCGATTCAGTATGATTCCTTTCTCTCTCTCTCTTTTTTTGTCGCACTTGAAGCAATTCAGGAAACGTTTTGTTTTTAAAAAAGAAAACGTTTCCTTTTAACGTTGCGGAAGACCTTCCATTTTCACAGACAGAGCCACGGAGGCGCAGAACCGTGAAAATGATGCGTAAGGAAAGGACTTTCGCCGAAAGAAGCTTTTACGGTTGATAAGTGGCTAATGTTATTTTGTTTGAGTAAGAAAAACACTGTATTATGGTTGATAAGGCGGGTTGATAAGTTCAAATGAAAAGTTTGGCTAACATCTATGCTTCGTTGGTCTATCCGATTCTACTATGGTATATATATTTTTTAAAAAAACAGTATCGGTTTATCAGGTGCAGAAACGATGCGTACTCAAGCTGTACTGATGAGTGATGGCTGCTGGCTCCATGCCTCCTGATGCCGCCGGGCCCATCCCGAGTTGATTGCTTGTCCGGAAGCCGCAGCGGGAGCAGACGAATAACGCGGCTCAAGTAGTTTTTCTATTTTTCTAATAACTTTTCTCAGATCATATTTCTAAAATAAAATAATCTGGTTTTATTTTAATTTTTAACTCTTTTTACTGTGTCTGGCCGCATAGCGTGGTAAAATCACATTATCACGCCATATGCATTAATGTGATAAAATATATATAAAAAAACTTGCCACACCACCCTCTGTCGATGTGGAGCTCTATTTTGCCATGCCATCCAGATTAGCGGAGCAGGATACTCTTCTACCTTAAAAATCATTTTTCATACGGCATTAGATCAAGATGAGTTTATGGAAAACATAGCTAGATGAGATCTACAACCTTGTATTTTGAGTTTTTTATTTTAATTCATTAATCATTAAATACCTAAAAGATTGATACAACTTCCAACAACAAATTAAACACGAATAAGGCTCGTGACCTTAGAAAAATTCTATTTTTTCTCGTACGGAGTCGAGTGAAGGTGAAGTTTAAATAAAAGTCGTAGCTCTCGATAAGGTATACTGTATTTTATTTGAGAGTTTTTTGAAGTGGTTAATCAAGAAGCTTAAATCATGAATTCAGAATTTTAGCAGCAAATTAAGCACAGTCTATATTGTCTCCAACTGGCTTATCGTTATAGAGTTTTTATTGGTTTTCATGCCACTAGAGCACATCCATGTGTCCCTTGAGAGTTTCTACATGCTGTGATAACAAGAAAGAACGCATCATTTTTGCTTCACGCACATTGGAGTCTATGACAATGGCTTTCTTCGTCTGGATTTATCTTTAGACATACAAACTAAGTTTATTTGGTGTATGAGATGTTTCGTTTTAAGGATTTGTATCCTCTAATAATTTTGGTCTGATTCCATAGTCCATACTCGTGGGGATGAAGCTGCATGTTTTCTTTCATTATCTAAAAAAACATGAGTGACCAGGGTTTTCATGACAACAAAGCTCGAAACAGTGAGAAAAAGGGAGGGGATCGATGGATGCTTTGCGCTTCTTGGAACAGGACGTTCGTCGGGTCCGGATGCTCCCGCTGGTGGGCCGTGGCCAACCAAAATGACACCCTCCTGTCTGCTCGTCGTCACCGTAGCTTCTTAAAAAAAGAGATATCACACACAACGCACGCTCCACCCGCTGTAGCTCTCGGCGGCCGATCGGGGCGGAGGCCACCCGCGCTCATCTTGGGCGAGGCGAGGCTGCCCTTCTCGCCGTAGCCGGGGTGGAGCTCGCCGTGTGCAGCTCACAGCAGCTCACCCACGCACATCTCGCACTCCACCTGGGTAGCTCACCGTGGTTGGGCGCGGAACTCACCCACTCGCAGCTCGCGACGGGCGGGATGGAACTCGCCCACGCACCCGCACAATGTGGAGACCTACCGCAGCCTTCTCCGCCAGACTTGCTACCGCGGTCTTCTCCACTAAAGCGGCGAGCTCTACACCAGTGAACTCCACACGCCGACGAGCCTCCATTCTCCCAAGCAATAAGGAGACCCGTTGCGTTGAAATAGCATGTTGCAAGCATTTTAAGTGTTTCAGATGGATGTATGTTGCAAGTGTTTTTACATGGATGTTGCAAAAGTAGATCGGGATGTTGCACATGTTGCAATGATTATATACGTATGTTGCAAGCGTCTGTTCTAAATGTTTCATCTGTTTTTTCATACGTATATTGCAAGTGTGTTTATTTGGATGTTGCATATGTTTCACATATATCTTTCAATTGTTTTTATCTCGATGTTGCATATGTTTTGCAATGGCTTTTAAATGTTTTCTTGTGTTTTTTACAAATATTTCAGCGCATGTTTCAAGTGTTTCATCTGTCTCCAGACGCATGTTTCAAGTGTTTCATCTGTCTCCATACACATGTTGCAAATGTTTCATTTCAATGTTCAAAAAGTAGATCGGATGTTGCTATTGGATACCCAGCCCTCCCCAGGACTCTACAACAGCCTAGCTCTCATCTTCTATATTGAAAAGTTGGCGTGGGGCCCCAAATCCCAACCAACCCAGCGTGAGACATCCATCGGACACATATCGATGAAGCGAAGGGCGCGAGTGGTCCCCACGTGGGGTCAGACGGCGCGGGCTCCGCGTTGGCGCACGAAACGAAGTGCAGGTGCGGCGTCCGGACATTGGGCACTAGCACTGCCGTTCGTCCGGCACGCACATGACAGTGAGAAAGAAGATAAGGTTCGGTCTTGTTCATATGGGCTAAAAATGTTCTTAGTCTTCTGGGCCTTCTATTTATTGTTTGGCTCTTCTAATTCTCATAGGTATTGATGGGCCTGTTCGGGTGGGCTGCACCTTCGGCTGGAGTTGCACAAGGCACAAAGCACGGTACAAGGCTTATATAAAAAAAAAAGCACGTTAGAAATTGATTTATTCAGGAAAGGTGTATTTTACTACTCAGTGTGCATGATCAAGCCTTAATTGCCACGATAAAAAAAATGCATGACACTGCTCGCTGCGACTTTTTCGGCTGCATCTTTTGACTGCGGCTGCAAGAAGTGAACTGTCATGTACCGTATATAAGGGCATGTTTGCATTCTGCTTCTAAAGTTTAGAGCTCTAATAATTTTAGAGCACTTTAGATTACTTTTGAGGTCTAAAGTTTTAATGTGAGATATACTAAAATTTCGAGCTAATTTTAAACCATCTATTTAGAGCTTTAGCTCTAAAGTTTAGAGCAGATGATCCAAATAAACCATAACATTAAAAACATCTGCAGCTGCAGCCAAATAAGCTGCAACTAGCAAGCTGCATTTCCCTTGTCAATTATTTTTATAAAATGCTAGCTGTTGCTCACCATGTTTAGTACTATATACCATCAGCCTGTTCGGCAGGCCATAAATGATCGTAGATTATTTACTGCTGGCTGGTTTGGTGTGAGAGAAAAATACTATTCTAACTTATAATCTACAAGCAAACGAACAGGCTGCATGTCCTCCTAGAAACCGTGTTGCCCTCGTACACTTTTTTTTGCAAATTTTCCTTCAATATCTCAGCAATCCTTAGTTACCCCCCGCTTATGCACGCTGAGGCCTGGTTGCGTGCCTCAACTTATATCGAAGAAATTGAATTGAAATTTTGATTGGAGCCACACGCCCACACAGTACATGGAAACACCAGCGCCACAATCGACATCTTCACAGAGAATCCCAGGTATGAAGTCGGTTGCATCATGTAGCGTTTCCGCAAGGCGCTGGCCTTTCTTGGCCGCCAGGGCCTCAACTCCTGAAGTCGTGGGCCTCCCCCTCCCATAAATCTCGCGTTCCAATCCGCAGACGACGACCCATCTCATCTCGTACTACGCCTTCCAGGCTTCCAAAGTTGCAACCCTCGCCTCCCTCCCCTCGATCTCGCGATCGAAAACCCCACAAACCCCTCCGCCGCCGCCATGGCCCCAGCCGCCGCCCTTGTCGGCCCTCCGATCGCTTTCATCGCTGATGCCAAGCTACCGCCGAAGCCGATCCGCAGCTCATCCCCCGACCACTCGTCCGACGAGAACTCACCCTCACCCATGGACGAAGACTCGCCTGCGCCAGGACGGACGACGAAGGAGGAGGTGGTATCATGGTCCGGCGGCCGCTTAGCGACTGCCGTTAGATTGATCTCTAACCAATAAGCCCAACGGCTTATTGGGCCTTAATCACGCGCTACGATCGGGGCGCCCAACCCTACATGGTTGGTGGGCCCCCGTCGACTGCGCTATATATAAAGAGGTGGGGCCGGCGGCTCAAAGCACGAGGTTCGCCGTGAGCCGCAAAAACCACCGACAAACCCTAGACCGATCTAAGAGGCGCTGCAGCCAATGACGGAAGCTCACCGATCCTCGCCGTCGTCATCGCTACGCCCGACCGCACTACATCGACGTCTGCGCGCAACCTCTACTCCACCCGTCATTGCCCGTGTGTCGCCTCCATCACCGAACCGGCGATGGCCAAAGACAACCACGACTTCATCTGAAGGCTCGGGTTCATCACCACCCCTCTCTACCCTATCTCCCTCTCGGTGTAGTATTCTAGGTCTAAATGTGCATGTGCTTCAATTGGTCTAAGTATTCATCCGTCTAGATCTACCCTAGTCGATCCACGCTTTATAACAATGGTACGAGCCTTTTTCTAGCGGTAGATCCGGATCGGGAAAGAAAGAAATCGAACCTAATCCTCAATCGATGCACGGAAAAAAAGTGAGAACTATTTGAGACATGGTCTCGACATCCCTAACCCGCTTCGGTGATTGACCGAGAAGGAAAAGAACCGATTTCAAATCGGGGAAGAAGAAAAGCAGTTTCATCTCCAAACCTAACCCTAACCCTAATCGGGAAATCGTGCAAAATCCGAATCAAAGAAACCGGAAAGGATCCACGATCTCGGATCGGATCGAAAGAACCCTAACCCTAGAAATGAAACCCTAACCCTAGATTGGGTTTTGGGAAGGAAAAGATGAAGAGGGAACCTACCCGGTCCTCCCGACACCGCCGTCTGTCATGCGGAAAGCCACCACTGCGGTCTTGGCGGTGATCACCGCCCGCCATGGTTGGCGAAGCGGACAGAGGCCCGGCTCGGCCGTGGCTCAGACAATGTCCAAAGTTTGCTCGACGACGGCGCTCGCCATGGCGAAAGCGCAGACCGGCGAGGGGCTTGCATCGGTGTCGTCCTCACTTCTTCTCCGGTGATTTAGGTGGCGCGCGCTCCCTTCGCCTTCGCTACATCGTCGCCGTGGGAGAGGAGAGGAGAAAGAGAAATGGTCTAGGGTTTTGGGGGAGGCGCGGCCACGGGTTTTTTATGCCCCGAACAGGCGCTCCACCGCTCGATCGAGACAGACTGACCACGCCACGAGCGAGGCAATATAGCCTTGCCGCAGCCTCAAAGGGAAAGGGCGAGAGTGAATTCTGCCCAGCCCCAGTTGCGGCCTAGGCGCTGGGGTAGTGCTTGGCACACAATGCAAGGTGAGCAAGTGAGCCAAATGGGCAGAAGTTTGGGCTGGGCGAAATGGCCTAATGAATACAAATAGCTCAAAGTTTTTCTTTTATTTTTCCAGAAATATATATTTTTGATGAATTTCAATTGGAAGTTGATGCAAATCTTTGTGCAATTTTTGTCCAATGACAATTTTGTTCAGAGAACAGTGCAATATTTAAGAGTTTCTGGAAAAATAATTATGGGCATATTTAAATTTTCCGCTGCGTATTTAAAGTAATTATGGACTTTTAATTAAATTCGAACCACGGGAGAATTTGATTTTAAGAGCCAAGAGATAAATATGAGATGATTATGATATTGTTATTTTCTAACCAACGTTGTTAATAGCAATATTATAATTTTAATGATTATGCATTATTTCTATTTCTGCCCAACGGTGATGTAGATTTAATGTATAAAACAATTGTATGTTTTAATTTTGACCAATGTTAAACTAAGGCATGCAATTATTGTTGTTATTTCTGTTCTCACACTATTTGAATTGTGTTTTCAGGAGGATATAACTTAATGAGTTGTATCAAAGAGATCCCTACTCTAAAAGGTGATAACTATAATGAGTGGAAGAAAAAGATAGACTGGCCTTCATCCGCCGAGGTGGATGGGTTGTCACACACACCGTGCCCTGAGAAACTGTGGCACGGGTGAGGGAGACTGATCTTCGCATGGCGAGAATAGAGAGCGGATTTTGCTCCCGTAAAGATGTCCTATGACCTTGAGCATAGGAAATGGGTCACTTGCCAACAAGAAGTGTTTGACAAAGTGATAAAAGAACACAATTGAGCTCGCTATTGTGGGCTCAATTCTGGTATGTGACACGGTCACAGAGTACCTAGATAGAATAAAGAGTCAGTTCACTTGGCTCTTCAAAGATTATATGCAACCCGGTGATCAAGCAACCGAGTTCTGTAAAGGTACTCTGGTGGCGGCGGTGGCATTAGAGAGCACATATCTTGAGAATGAGCAATCGGCATCTAAGCTCAAACCAATGGATTTGGCACTCAAGGATGAGTTTCTTATTCATTTGATTTTTGCTTCTTTGCCCAAAGAATTTGACACCTTTGTTGTTAATTACAACATATAGCCTGAAAAATGGGATTTAGAAAAGCTCATAGCCATGTGTGTGCGGAGGAGGAAAGAATAAAAGTTTCACAAGGTGGTTCATGGCAACTACCTAAAAGATAAGAAAAGAACTATTATATGACTCTTCCTCCAAGTCATCTCGAAAAGGTCCCATGCAATGATCTTAGAATCGGCAATTCCCGGTGGCTAAAGACCCGGTGTCTCCATTGCAAGAAGACGGGACATTATAAAAAGAATCATCCCGATTTCCTAAAGATGATAATGAAGAATAAAAGTGAGAACATTATTACGTTCGTAAATGAATCCTTGTATGTAAAGTTTTCAAAATCTACTTGGTGGATTGATTGAGGTGCAACTATTCATGTTGCTAATTCATTCTGAGGATTCCGTTCGATGAGAACTTTGCAAAGAAGCGAAAGTTTCATTAAAGTCGCAAATGGAGTACAAGCAGAAGTTGAGGCCGTTGGAGATCTTCCTCTAGAGCTTCCAGATGGCTTTATACTTTTTCTTAGAGATGTTCTTTATGTACCTTCTTTGCAAAGAAACCTGATTAGTGTATCAAAGTTGGACCATGATGGTTATGATTGCCATTTTGGAAATGGCAAATGTCGATATTGTTTAATAATAATGTGTTGGTCTTGCCTTGAGACAAGACGAGCTTTATTTGTTATCACTTCGTGAAAATGTGAATTCGTATGTGATGTGGATGAAAATGTATCCTCATCGAACAATGGAAACAGAAAACGAAAGAGAGCTCACGATGCGTTGTCGAAATTATGGCACTGTCGTTTTGGCCATATTTCGAGGGGGAGAATAGAAAGACTAGTTAAGAATAATATTCTTCCTTCATTAGAGCTCCCAGAGTTAGAACAATGTAGAGATTGCATAAAAGGAAAGTATGTAAAGAAAATTAAGAAAGATGCCAAACGAAGCGTAGGAATTCGACAGATTATTCACACAGACATATGTGGTCTTTTTCCTGTGAAAAGTGTGGATGGTTATGATTCATTCATAACATTCACAGCACGATTACTCTCGGTTTGGCTATATTTATCCAATTAAAGAAAGAACGAAGCGTTGGATAAATTCAAAATATTTAAAGCGAAGTTGAAAATCAGCATGATTTAAAGATTAAGATAGTCGAGTCGACCGTGGAGGAGAGTACTACGATTCGGCATACCCCATATGGACAAGTTCACGGACCTTTCGCAAGGTTCTTACAGGAGAATGGTATAGTCGCCCGAAGATTCAACACAAGGCGAACCTCAGCAGAATGGAGTAGTGAAAGGCGAACTGCAGTACCACGATGGATATGGTGCGTAGTATGATAAGTTACTCCACTTTACCGATGAGTTCGTGGATGGAGGCGTTAAAACCGCCATTCATATTCTCAATAGAGTACCAAGTAAGTCGGTGCCCAAAACACCGTATGAGTTGTGGACAGGAAGAGTACCTCACTTAACCACTTGTGTGTGGGGAGCCCTGCTGAGGCTAAAGTTTTAACCCAAACATTGGGAAGCTAGATCCCAAAAGCAGTTGAGTTGCCATTTCATTGGCTACCCGGAAAAGTCAAAAAAGGTTTTCGTTTCTCTTGTCCCTAACAGACATACAAAGTTTGGGAAACGAGACACGCTGTGTCTTCCTAGAGGATGAAATGATTAGGGGGGAGCATGGTAGCTCGAGAAATTGACCTTGAAGAGAAGCGGTGTATGCACCCACTCCGATCATTCATGAGCCATTTTCTCACTACTACTGTTGTTCTTTGCACCAACAAAGATACAAGACAACTGTGGTGCCAAGACTGTTGTTATCCTTACTGTGGCAACAATGAATGATGATGAGGAACACGTGCCTCGGGATCCTATAGAACCTATTGCCACACATGAGGGGGGAGCAACATGACCTCAAAGCAGAAAATGTGCCAATTGAGGAGGCCCCTAGAAGGTCTCAAAGAGTTAGAAAATCAGCTATTCCTGCTGATTATGAAGTGTACAACACTGAAGAATTTCAAATGGGGGATGATCCCACCTCATTTGAAGAAGCCATGAAAAGTGATCATTCATCAAAGTGGCTTGAGGCCATGGAAGATGAGATGAGATCAATGAATGCAAATAAAGTTTGGGATTTGGAGATAATTCCTAAAGGAGCCAAAACAAAGAGGGTCGTAAATGGGTCTACAAAACAAAACTTGACTCTCAAGGGAATATAGAAAGATATAAAGCCCGACTTGTGGCAAAAGGCTTTACACAAAGAGAAGGGATTGATTACAATGAGACTTTTTCTCCAGTCTCGTGTAAGGATTCCTTCATAATCATAATGGCATTAGTGGCACATTACGATTTGGAATTACATCAGATGGATGTAAAGACGGCATTTCTCAACGGAGACTTAGAGGAAAATGTTTACATGGCACAACCGAAAGGTTTTGTCATGGAGGGAAAAGAACGTTTGGGATGCCGCCTAAAGAAATCTATTTATGGATTAAAACAAGCTTCAAGATAGT